CAGGAATGCTTTGCCTTAATTTTTTAAGAGACTGTCTCTTAAAACACTTTTTCCCACGTCAGAGAACATAAAAGCATTTGAAAGATGATTTTCATAATCTATGCTTAGAATCATATTTTATCTAAAAATGAGCTCTGCTGATTCTAATTGGTATAAGCAATTGCTTTAAAGCAGGGGTCCCCAAGCCCCATGCCGTGGACTGGTACTGGTCCATGGCCAGTTAGAAACCGTGCCACATAGGAGGTAAGCAGTGGGCCAGCAAGTGAAGCTTCACCTATATTTGCAGCCACTCCCCAGCGCTAGCATCACCGCCTCAGCTCCACCTCAGATCATCAGACATTAGATTCTCATAGGAGCACTGGTCCCTAGTGCCAAAAAGGCTGGGGACCGCTGCTTTAAAGTAGAATAAAAACAACATAGTAACTTTTTAAATAAAATTTAACTGGGGGCTTCATAGGCTGTCTACCTAACTTTATCCCTGTCTCAAATAGGTAAATTTATGAAAATTTTCTCACATAAAATTTCTTGACTCTGAATTGAAATCATGTCCTTTACGTTTTTGTCATCTTTTGATCCCTAGAGTTTTCTGTGATTTCGAAATACAATGGTGATAAGTACATTGATAATTCAATTCAGAGCCAAATACTGAATTATAACCTTCACACCATCTTTTTTGTCAGCAAATGAATAAGATAATGAGAAATTATAATGGCTTCCTGCCCCCTAGTGATCTGTGATGGATTTTGATAGAAAAGATGAACCATTCTGTGATTAATGGACCTCAATGATTTGGTTCTCCTGAATATAATAAACTTAAAATAGGATTTAAACATCTTAATGCTAAAGTCAACTAAGCATGTACATATACTTAGGTGGTATTAAATTGGTTCAAAATTAGCATGAATTTCTAAGCTGTTATTGTCATTTAGTTCATATTTGTATTTACCAATACAGACACAAACATTCTAAATCCTTGCATTTTTGCCTCTTGACAGCATATAAGTTTCTAAGTAGCTATATTTCACCTGGTTTTAGCATGAGACTCTACCCATGTTACCAAGTAATATATCCTTGAGTTTGATAGAAGGCTGTGAAAGAGAATAATTTTATAGCCAATACCCATGGAATCATCACCATCTTGTTCTTCTACACTAACTTAAAAAATAACATTTGGCAGATAGATCATTAAAGTAGTATATTTAACATAGTAGTAGTAAAACCTATTATACAGGCTGTAGAAATCAGGCAATAGATGCATAAAGTTAAAATCGGATTTGATTGGGAGTAGACTGTTTCACTTAAACCATTAAATAACTGTTTACTTGTTTAAAATTTGCAGCTTGGTTAGAGCAGATTTTTAGGGTGTTGTTTCCTGAAATTATCTTTCACTCCTTTTTGAGTAAAACTTTTTAGGTTTACACTAGAAGTCCATAGATATTGTTGGTAAATTAAATTATAAATGACTAGAAACCCCAACTTTGTTTTTAGGCAGTTTGATTAGGCACCTCTATAAACTTTAATCAAATGAATCACAATACAGTAGAGATTTTGTTTTGTTTTTTAACCAAAGAAATGAAAAAGTTCTTATCCACATAATCTGTTGAGGTAAAAAGAGGGAACTGGTTATTCTGGAGTCCTGGTTTTCCTTAGGAACATTTTCAAATAATTTGAGTTATTCAACTCATTAGTCTGATAATCAGTAAAAGGAAATGGTGATTGGTGGGAGAAATTAAAATATAAAGGTAGGGAATAGGGAAAACAGGGAGGAAAAGTTCAGAGGTAGAAATATGGAAGTTGAATTCAAATTAATTTTTTATTGAGCACCAATCATGGGCCCCAAAAATGGCTGACAATATCACTAAATGTTTTACATTTAAGTAAAGGAAAATGAAAACATCAGTATTTAGTCTTTATTTCTAAAACATCATTCTGAATGACCCAAATAAAGTTTTGGTTTTGACTGATATATTTTCACATTAACATGTTCATTAGGTAACCCACTATTTCCAGCTGCCTTACCAGGCACAGCAGATGACAGCTGATGAATAAGGAGCAGAGTCTCATACAAGCTTTATCACATGTGTTCCTACGCTGAAAAGGCCCTTCTTTGTACTTCTTGGTAGGTGGAGTATGTAACTTAGTGGTTACGTACAAGAATGTAGAAATCAGATAGGTCTAGGTTCAAATTCCAGCTCTAGTATTTAGTTTCTGTGTGGTCTCAGGAAAAAAGACTCAGCCTCTGAACCTCAGCCCCCTGTCTGGAAAATTAGAATACTTACCTCATAAGGCTGTGAGGATTAATTAAAATTACATGTGTAAAGCATTTAGCAAAGTAGATAGAGAGCTAACTAAATGGATGTTTGTTAGGTGAGAGCCCTAGGATGGCTGGATCATGGGGTTTCCAAATCTGGCCTGCAGCTTCAAGTTCTTAACACCAAATATAACTCTACTCGCTCCAGTTCCCTGGCATTCATCCTGTCACCCCCAGTTTACTGCACTTCAGGTATTAAGGAGATGGGAGACATTCCATAAGGATATGTTCCCACAGAGCTTTTCAGTACCCTGGAATCCTAGGCAATGCTAATATTAGGGTGCCTACAGAGTACTCGCATTTATCACTGAGAAGCATTTTTTACACAGGAGGTGGGGGTGGTGAGGAAAGATACAAAACTGATCAAAGTAGATTAATGGCAAAAAATTTAACTCATTCAACCCATTTAAAATTAACAAAAATACCAATTTCTTTATTTTCAGCTATGTATGCACACATGCGTTTTTTTTCTTTTGGGTGTACCGATTTAGCTTTTTGTTAATAATGACATTTTTGTTTAACGGTTATACTGGTTCTTTGGGGGATTTTCCAGAGATCTATTAATTATGGAAGTTCCTTAACAAGTGACAAGAGAAACAGGTCGTTTTAACCAAAAAGTTGCCAACCACCACCTCTTTTCTTGCTTAAGAAAATTTGGTATATTATCTCAAGAAGTTAGGCATATCCTTAGCATGTTCATAATAATTGTTTCATTAGGCATTCTATGGCTCTGATGGAATTTTAATCTAATCAAATTATTTTAACCCATCAAATTACTTAAATCTCTACTCACCTATAAAATTCCAAATGCTCTATTAAACTTTAATATCTTGTTCATTTTTTTGTTCTCAGCCACATTACTTATTTTTCACTTCAGTCTATTATCTTTCCTTCCAATTGGTGCTGACTGCCCTAGCAAACTCCGTTTAATTCATTTTTATCACTAGCCCCTGGAATCCTTATTTTCTTTAACTTCACATATTAAACATTAGCCATGTGTCATTTTACTTATGTGAGTCATTTCTCTGAATATTTTTACTTTTAAAAATATGGGAGAGATTAAGACAACTTTCTGAGTCCTAATCCACTGCAACTTGGTTGTGCTTTATTAATCTCTGAAATTCTTAGTCCTGTTTGCCAAAGAATTTAAACACCTGAGTTATACTGTAATTGGTGGCAAGCTTGTTAGGCACTGATTCATTCCTTCGATTCCTCCAGAATTTCTTGCTAGAGAACAAAAGGCCTTTTATGCAAGACTGTGTTTGTGAGACAGAAAGAGAAATAAGATTCCACATATATCTATCTAGATTTTCCTTTTATTTTTAGAATAGGAGCCTGATCAAATTATAAAGGCAGGAGGAGCAAGCACGTTCCACAACCTTGTCTTCATAGCATTGGTGGGCAAGAAACAATAGTAAGAAGTTAAAGCTTTGTAGCCCCACCCCACGAGAGAGGTGGAAAAAATAAGAGGAAACTGGGTTGGAGAGAAGTGTTGGATATTTTCATTTCCCCTAGTTTTAAAAGGCAAGTAGTCTTTACATGAACTCTTTGCCTTAACAAGGAAAACTACATTATAAAGAAGCCTGTGCTGCCCTGTAGCTAGTGCCAAAGCAGAAGGTATGTGCCCTGTGTAACACGAAACTGAGAGAAAACAACATCGCTGAGGTGTGGCTTTGTGAAACTATGAACATCGGTTATGTAAAATTAGATTTTATGGTTGTTTATACATTTGCTTGCTAATTGTTGGCTGTTAGTACCTGTCAAAACAGTAAGCTAAACCCCGCTTTTTTAAATGGAGTAGACAATCCATTAGTAAATGGTTTGGTCGTGGTGGTAGCATTTAGAAAGAACCCCGCTCTTTAATGCTGGGAAAGCCACTGCAAGAGATTTTGATGAGGGTCATGTAAAACAGTGGTCCCAAAGAAAATTATGTTTACTGAGATATTATATAGTTTGGAATTTTTGAGTTTATCTTATCTCTCTACACTATTCTCTGATGGTCTCTGGGTTTGTTAGAACACTTTATCAGGTTCCTATCAGTAATGTATATACCATATTTCAAGTTGCGTTTCAGATTTAATTACTGCTAAACTATTGCATCAGACTAAGATGATTTGCTTTTCCTATGTGGCTTTTAAAAAATTCCTGATTTCTCATTTACCTTTTTGTGTATTTCCCCCTTCTCTACTTCCCATTATTTTAATACTGCATGGCCTCTATACTATTCCTATTCTTACTTAATACCCTAAACATCTCCCCACAAATCTCTGAGCTCACACTGTGCTAATACTTCTCTATCAACTAAATCTGTGCTAGTCAATAAATCTCTCAATTCTCTTGGCAACTTGTTCTTTTATGCAAGTTGTATACAAAAATATGACTTGCATATCTTAAAAATTTGATGTGAAAAGAAACAATGTTAAATTAGTGTTCATAATCACAAAATTATACTTTTAAATATAGGAGTTATTTAGAATCCCTTTCATTATGAGAAGGGTATTACAAGTAAGTAATTCACATTAAAAATCATTCTATTCAATAGTTGTGTTTATTGGTGGGTCAGTTTTCCCAAGTGTTTTAATTCACATGTAATTCACGTAGACCCTGTGTCAGCAACAACTAGCAGTAATACTATTTTAACTAAAAAATGATAAACTTTTTCCATTTATATGCTGTGATTATTTTATAATCCTCAAATTTTTAAAAAATGAAGCATAGTGATAGACTGCAATTTGCCACAACACATTTTCTCCAAATATTAGATAGTATAAAACACAAGACATTGTTTGCACACTCTACTTTTATAGAACAACCAGATTTATAATTGATTTATTTTATTAGCTTTATCAATATACATGGCAGCTTTCTCAAATCTTGAAGTTCCAAAAGTATGTAATTTTAAAGGTGAAAAATCATTTTCCTTTAGATGTCATATTCTTAGAGAACTATTAAAGTCTATTTATAAACAAAAATAATTGATAAACACACTTTAGAAATCAGAATATTTTAAATTATTTTAAGTGAATACAAGATATGTCTTTTTTATTAACTATCATAGTTAAATTTTATACCACAAAACAAAATGACTTGTCCCTTACTAATTTCTCAGGTGGGGTAAAGTCATTGGGTTTTATACTTAATATAAGTTTTAAATGTGATTATTAAATGATAATATTTTATCAATTATAGGAAAATATTCATTTATAGGAATTTCCTTAGGTCCATCAATCTCTTTAGGCCAAGTGTGGGCCCATGTCAACCTTCAAGGTTAGATTCAGTGCACCTAACCTGCCTAATAAGAATATGAATTTCATTAATAAGAAGGGGGAATACACAGTGGCTAAATCACTGTTCAACTTTCAAAAAAAAAAAAAAAAGCTAAAAGTGAATGGAAGTTTCATATAACTAATTACTTAAAAATTTTTTTTAATTTAAACAGAAATGGCCAATAATACTGGGTTTAAAATTTCATAGGATAACCTTAAAAAAAAAAAAACCACATAGAAATAGTGAAGTCATCACCTTATTGATAAAAAAACTAAAGTTTAATAGTCATTGAAGGGGTAACAACCACTTGCAGTCTACATTTAAAAGTAACTTTAATCATAGCTAAAACAAACTAAAACCAAATAATTCTATTAAGAAAAAGCAAAAATGATAAACATTTAACACCTAAACTGTAGATACTTAAGATCCTAAACAAAAATATTTAAAGAAAAAGGGCCTTAAAATTTTTTTCCAACACTTCATCTTAGAAAATCAGTTTCTAAATAGCTCATATCCTTTGCTTTGGTGTTTTATGTAATATTAACTAAACATTAGTACAGTAGAAAATCACTTATGTTCTTTTCAAATGCTTGGCATTATAATGTGATCTCATATCTTTCCTCAAATTAAATTTTGCTCCACATATTCCACATGTATACAGATGAACATCCATGTGCTGTTCCAACTGTTCATTATTTGGGAATATCTGAAAGCAGACCTGGCATATAGTCTCACCAGCAGATAAATGAGAAATCATATGCCGTACATGGTCATGTTTTCTGAAGTTTCCTTGATCACAAATGGAACAGACATACCTGGCCATGCCTTTGTGCATATCATTGTGCAGTCGCAACTGACGTTCTCTTAAAAACTGCTTTCCACATGTCTGACAAACAAACTGTTTTTCCTTAGTATGAACAGTATAGTGTTCTCTTAGGTGACAGCGTTGATAAAATCCTTTCCCACACAGATTACAAAAATGCTTTCGTCTGTGATCTCTTTCATTTTCTTCCATGATGGCGCTTTTAAACATATCTTGGTCTAGACAGCTAGACATATGTTCAACCACTAGATTTTCAGTTTCAAAACGCTGGCCACAATTAGGACACCGAAAAGGACAGGCAGAATGTTTAAATAACTGCTTTTTTTGGATACTGTTTATCTGGAAATGATTGTCTCTAAAATCATCCAACATTTCAACAAACATGTCTCTTATTTCAGACTGCTCATCAGGATTCTCTTCCATGTCCATTTTCTCCTCAGTATTTCCTAACCCATTCATTGTCAGATCTTGAGGTTCTCCACACCTTTGAGCATGTTCTTGAAGCTGTCTACCTTTAACAAGTATCTGTCCACATTTACCACATGCACAGATATTTTCAATGTGTTTGGCTAAGTAATGAGATGACAGGTCCTCCTCGGTTATTGTGAGTCCACACAGCTCACAAGATGCATTTTCAGTATCCTCTTGTATTGGGCTGCTGTTGTTAGGGGGCCTCATATTTTCTAAACCACCTCTTTCATCAGCATTTATTGACATCCGAGGTTTTAGAGTTTTCCTACCACTTTTTTTAATACTGACGTCTTCTTCAACATAGTATCTATAAAATGGTTCTTCAGGTTCATCTTCTAATTCATCATTGTCAGTGGATTCATTACAATCTTTATCAGTAACTTTAATAATGTTAAAGTCTTTCAGTTCATCTGTAGGAATATCTTCTGGCTCCATCTTGATGATGATTCTTTTCCTCTCAGCAGCTCTGCTTTTCTCTTCACTGGCTAGTTCAGACTCCACTGTGCTACTCTTTCTGCTTCCAGTGGTTGAAGTCGAATCATCAGCAGTCTGGCTTGTGTCTCCTCTGTATTTTTCCAACTGCGCAGAAAATGTTTTAGGAGAATCCTTTTCACCAAATTCAGCTTTAATATTACTGTCTTTTCCGTCTCTAACATCTACTATTCTGTGAAAAGATCTCGTGTTTTGGTATGAATGTCTGTTAGTACAGGTTAGCACATGTTCATCTAATAATTTTTCACAGCTAAAGCCAAATCCACAACTATCACAGGTAAAACTCCGTCCAAAGCGTCGTGACACACGTTCTTTTGGAGTAGATAATTTGGACACAGAACTTTTTTTACATACATCAAACAGTGGTTCAGGAAAATTACCTAATTGTAAAGACTCTTCATCAGGCTCTCTATTATGTGGTGTATTTACTGTTGAACTTGGCTCTGCACACCACTTATTGGCTTCATTGCCATTTCTAGCCACAGTGTCTTCATACATTCTTACGCCGAATATCATTTTGCTGTTGTGTTTGCTAGAAGCAGAAGATGAACATTTTGAACTAGAACAATCTGCATCCTGTATGTCCTCTAAGCAGTCGGGAACATTGTACAGCTGTAGGTAATTCATTGCCACTTTAAACTGCTCAAAACTAGAGGGAGCTGTCATAATTTTTCCTAAATACATAAATTGCAAAATGAGATCAAAACACTCAGCACTGATTTTCATGTTGCTGAGATTCAGTTGTGCAGTACTATGCTGATGGTTCATGAAAAACATTCTAAAATAGGAGCTACAAGCAGCTAGAACTGCTTTGTGTGCTTGAAAGTAAATGTCATCAATTGCAATACAACAGTCACAGAGAAAACCCCATTCCCTTTGGTTGTTTAGCTGCTGAAGGACGTAGCTGCTGTGGCTGGGCTTTGCCATCTTCTATTAATTAGAGACCTATGTAAAACAAAAATATTGAAGTCAGACAAGATATCAGAAAAGCATTTGAAAGAATAATTTTGATCATGATTTGTGACTTGTGTGACTTTACTATTAAAATCAAGGTGTGAATAGCTTTCCATTTTAATATAGCAAAACTCAATAAATAATATATACTTAAATCATTTTTTTTAAATTTGAAGATGAAGATACCCAAACATTTATTCAAGTTTCTCATTTTAAGAAATACAACCAAAAGTATCAGAAGCAAAAACCATCATTTTGGTTTCATTACAATTGTAGGGGGAGAATGTATACCAAATTCGAAAGAAGAAAAGGCACTTGTTTCAAAGTACTTGAAGTATACAAACAATGAAAGTAAATAAAAGAACAAATTGAAATTTAGTAACTACATTGAAGAATATTAAAAACTTCTTAGATGATTGATATAAAGGAGTTATTGCTCATTTTTATATGTGATGAGGGTATTTTGGTTGTTAAAAAAGAGTCCTTATCTTTTAGATATACATGCTGATATATTTATAGATGAAATGATCTACCTAAAGTATGCTTGAAAATAATACAGTGCATTGAGTGTGAGGCTACAGATGATGTAAGATTGGCCATGTGTTGATAACTAATTCTATTTTTGCATGTTTGAAATTTTTAGAAAAATTCTATTAAAAAAAATCTTATTAGATTATATGGAAATGGCACCAAGTAAATAGGTTTGGTCAATGCTTTTCTCTTTTCTTAACTACTAGAGAAGCAATAATTCCGTAGAGTTGGAATATCTTTTACTGCTTGGCACGTACTTAAGGATATAAAAAAGCAGTGGATCTATTTGGGAAGGTGGTATCTGTTCATAGTTTGCAAATTTTTCTTCATTTTTTGCTTTTTAAAAAAGTGTACAGAAGTAACACATGCTCGTTGCAATAAAGTCAAACATAAAAGTACATAAAATTAAAACACACCTTAGGTTGCATACCTCTTCCCAGAGGTAACCTCTCCAAACACTCTGGATTGTATATCTTCAGATCAGTTTCTATGGATACATAGATTCAAGAGATATTGAGTACCATGTGCCAGGGACATAGTTTTCCTTTATTACGTTTTTAATTTTTAAACCTAAATGGTATTATACTATATATTACTTTCTGCAAGTAGTTTTCTTCATTTAACAACATATGGTAGACACTATAAATATTTTTAATGTAGGGACTTGACTTTGAATAAAGGAGAAGAAAATATTAAAAGCACTATCTATTATAGAAGTCCTATCTATTATACTATAAATCTAAAATAAGATCCAATTTCCGCCTCATTTTTAATCTGTAAAACTTCAGAATCTAGTTTCCACTGAAAAACAAATTCCTACCCAATTTGACTGAACATAAAAAGAACATTTAACAAGCTGTTCAGAGAAATAAAATGTTCATTCTTCAGTCCCTAAACCCTCCCTGCAGTAGTAACTAAGAGTATCTAAGCTTATTTACTTCCAACTGCTTATCTGTTCATCACAGATCGTATGTAGATCACATACCCCTTTTCTCTCTACTACCAAAAGATCCATCCTGCCTCTGTTTTCCTGCTTAAAGACAGAGTTGCATAGCCAGGGATGTGTGTGAAATAGTACTGTTGAAATGCACTGTTGAAATGAAGGTGGCTTAAAATTGCAACCACTATGCCTTTTCTATAAGCTAGATCAAGTATTTCAAGAAGGTACGTTTCGACCTTTTGTAACTCAGATACCTGTGCTAAAACTGTGAGGAATCACGTTCAGCATGTACCTAAATACAAAAAGCAATGTATGCACAAATATATCTATCAATGTTATTTATAACTTGAAATGCCTGTTAATAAGGGAGCTGTAAGTAAACCAAGGTAAATGCATATCCTAACATTCACTGTCATGTGGCCTTTAAAAACCGTATTAATGAAGACCGTAGAAGAAAATAAATTTTCAGGATAGAAAGTAAAGTAAAATAACACAGGATACAAAATTATGTAACAATTATAATTATATAAAACAAATCCAAACAACAAAACCTTATTCAAAGGTTAAAATGGAAAACACACACACACACACGTTGACCCCCAAGCCTATTTTATGTAGAGTGACATTTCTAGGTCTATAGGCATTTTGTAGGATTCAGAGAGACTTTTAATAAAAATAACAAATCAAAAAGAAAAGCAGGGGATAGATATTATCTCAAAAATTTTTTTCTAGTAGTAAGAGTTGTTTAAATGAAACAAATTTGTTCACAGGATAATGAATGCCCTGCGTGGAAGCAGGGACAAAATCTTGTTGAGGACTGTACGGTACAGTGAAAAGAGCACAGGCTTTGGATAAGACAGATCTAAGTTCCAGTGTAGTTTGCATCCTTGGGTAACTTGTTTATCCTTATTGATCCCAAGTTTCCTGAGCTGTCAAAGTGCTTGAAATAATGATATGAAGGGCTTAAAGGTTTTAGGGACCCTTCTAATCTAAATAAAAACAATTTTATGATCAGCAACCAAAATTAATGCAACTACACAGAAAACCAATATGACAGGCACATCTGCAGCTACTGTCACAATTCAATTCAATTAGTGAAAATACATTCTGTTAACAAAAACAAGACACTAAAACACGAGAATTGAGAGCATTTTGATGTATTATTTTTTAATTCAACAAATGTTTACTAAGTATTTTGGTATACCTGGCACTGATGAAGTACTGAGAATCAGCAATAACACAAGTATTCTATAATCTCAAAGATATATCATGGAGAATTTTGACTTTTTCTAAATTAAGGACTCCATTCAACATGTACTCAGTAAAGTGCCTACTCTGTGGAAGGCTTCATGCTGTGGTGGAAAGAATAAGGGCTCTGGGTCAGACAGGCCTGGGTATGAATCCCACTCTCTTCATGTGTCTCTATTTCCATCCTCCCCTCATAGACCATGAAGCAGAACAAGTAATGAGTCTGAAATTAATGCTAAAACTACAGCTTCGAGGCTGACCTAGATCTGTAGTTTCATCAATGCCATTATGCAAATGTCCAAGTTCTGAGTAAAACTAATTTTAAGTAGAGTGACTTTTAATAGCAATCATTCACACATTAGTACCATCAACTTTGTTCTTGTTACACCTCATTCAGAAAAGCTTAAAGAAGGCTTAATAACATCCAAAAAACTGGGCTGGAGGTGGAGTCCAGGGTGAGGGATCTAAATTCCTGTGAGACTTTTAGCTCATCTCTTGAAAATAATTTTTGCATTAAAATTTTTATAATTCATTTAATTATAAATGAATTATAAATTGTATTAATTAAACAATAAATTTTACTTACTCAAATTCCAAAAGAAGTTTGCTCTTTACAAGTTTTTGATATCCTTAATGCTACCAAAAACACTTAGTGAACTTTGTTATAGTAGAGCTATGTAAACAGTTTTAAGTAAAATGATTGCTTATATTTCAGTTGTTCTTATTTTCATAACTGCAATCAGTGGTTGCTTTTGTGTTACTAGCTACATCACTGGTAGAAAAAGTTTATTACAGCTAGATACCCAGTATGCATGCAGTTCTCCAGGAAAAATAAGGAGTTAAGTAATAAATAATTTGACAGAGAATTTTTTAAATTTTGAAAAAGTTTACCAGCTCATCATTGCACATTAAGCAATTTAGATATTCATAGACTTTTACAGCATAGAGAGATCTAATCTAGTCCAACATTATTATTTGATAGAAGGGCAAAGGTCTAGGGCTGTTAAACAATGCAAGAGTATAGCCAACTGTGACAAAGTACGTACTAGGACTCTTGACCACCCAGATGGGTACTAACTACTGTATAGTTGTTACTACATATTCCTTGATACTACGCAGTGTGGCCTTCTCCAAGAATACTCAATCAAAGACTATGTATGAGTTCTTAATGCAGGATACTACGCAGTGTGGCCTTCTCCAAGAATACTCAAAGACTATGTATGAGTTCTTAATGCAGCGTTTATTGGCCAAGTGCTCTTGCACAAGTGACTTCCGCCATCTGAACTCTTATTTGTAATGTGGTTTTAGCTGTATATATGCATCTAGTCTTAGCCAGTAGACGTGTTCCCTAAATTACACTGTGTAAGCTATTTCAGTAAATTTCGCACTGACATAGTAAGGTTTCAGAAATACTTTTCCTTCATTGCTAAATCTCTTAAATTGGAAAAAACAGTTTTGCTGGAAGTTTTTCTCCTAGCCTTAGTCAAATGATAATTTAAAGGTCTATAAGTAAGCATATAAAGTGAATGAAGAAATAACTTAAGGAAATTTTTGAGCTGACTCCTTCTCTAAGACAAATAATCACCTTCTACTATGTCACAGACTTGCCTCACCAAGGAGGCCCCTGAGGACGATTTGCACAGCCTCAGTGAGGCTGCAGCAGAGCCTAGCGTCAGACTCTCAATTAAGTGCCCTAGTCTCTGAACTTAAATTACTTCTGGATCTCAAAAGACATTTCAATATATACATTATTTCCTTATACCTATTTCTATGTTTTATCTGATTGAATGCATGTACCTGGATTTACTTTGAGCGCTTTTTAAGAAGCCTGAAATGTAACGAAAAGATTCTCTTATGTTTATAAATCAGAGTTTTGAACACATTGAACACTTATAATTCTAATACTGCATACAGCATTGAGGTGGACGGTGAAGAAGGATGGTATACAATAGAGCTAATTAATTACATGTGAGGGATTCAATTTTAAACCAAGACACAATTTGAGAATAATTAAGTACTAATTTATTTTGAATAAAGCTCAGCAAGAGTTTAGAAAGAGAAAAGCATGAATTGTACTAAAACTGTAGGTTTTAGGAAGGATGTAGTATTTGAGTGAAGCCTTGATGAATGAGTGGGATAGAGAAAAATAGAAAGCAAAGGGAAAGGTATTTCAGTAGTTTGCATAGGTGTCTATGTAATTGAGGAGAGGTACACAACAGCATAAACAAAAGCTTGGGAATGTAATGGGAGGGAAGGTATATTTGTTTTACTGGCCTTACTAACAATGTGCCAGGCTCTAGTCTAAGCAAATGTGTGCATATGTGTATTATATACACGTATGTATGCATATAAATATGTATCATTTTATCATTTAATCCCCATAACAAATCCTACTAAGTAGGTAATATTTTAAGACCCATTTTCCAGATAAAAACAGAGGCACACAATGTTATATAATCTTCCTAATTAAGACTTCAGAGAACTTGGTGAAATTAGAACACAAGCAATATCACTCTTCAGCCTGACATCATGGCCTTAACGATTTTGCTACCTATAAAAATAAGGTCACCTCAGCAAAATTCTTTCATAGAATACCATTTTCCAGGGTACACAGCCCAATTTCTAAATTTAAACTTAAATTCTTTAGGTTTCCTCCTTGAAATTTTAAGGAAGAACCAGCTGTAGAGGCTTCTGAAGGTTTTACTTCAAGGCACTTAAATGACAGGCATGATCAAGTTTAGAAAATTTAATTCACTTTTTAGGGCAGGCATTCTGGCGGGTTATTAGACTGTACAGTGGTACTTAGTACAGGAAGTCCTGAAATTATAACTGAGTTACATTCTAAAACTTTATTTTTAAGTTAGTTATTTGGAACTTGAAACACATATTCCCATAGAAACGATGCTATAAATGGTGGCTCAGTTCTATGCTCACACCCTAAAATCTTTAAAAACCCTAATGTGGCTGTATGTTAGTCCTAACAGTGCTGTTGTGTTATATCATTAGCACTGACAGAGGTACAGTATAGCAGTGCTTAATTGAACTCTCAAAGACAGGGGCGAGGCTTGATAGCTTTTGTGTTCCCTGAGCCTAGCGCACTCTTCCCACATATTGGCACTTAATGCATGCTTGTTAAGTGAAAGTATTAAATAAGAGCCAGAAAGCAGACATTAAAAGATTTGAATAATAGCTCTATCTAGTACTAAACTTCTTTACCTCTCTAAGCCTGCTTTCTTCATCTATAAAATACAGATAATCATACTCCTCATAGGACTCTTGCATAGAGATGATGTTTGTCTTTTCAATCCAAGCATAATGATTTTTCTTAAATATTAATGCCATCATTGTGAACATAGTTCATACAATTTTACAAAGTGATCAAGTTCAATCTGCTGCTTTACAGATGAGAAAACAAACTGAAGCCCTAGGAAGTTACACGATATGCTCCAAGTCATATCTAGTTTTAGTGGCTGACAGGATGGGACTTTGGTCTCCTTAATCTTGGTCTAGGGCTCTTCCTACTGTTCTAACTGCAGCCCCAAGTATAGCACTCCTGGCTATCTGCTTTCTCCTCTGCATCAATTGTTTGGCTGAAATATAGGAGCTGTTCAAATTTCTAAGGGTTGCTTGCACCTACAAAATGGCCTAAGACAGTTATACTTATGGAGACTGTGGTTCTTTGGTTGGTCAGTATTTTTCTGTCTCACTGCCTTGTGACACCAACAGCTGTCACTTCTAAGTGGTAGGCTGAGCTCTTGCTGCCCACCATTTCAATGTTATGGGTTATAAAATTAAGGCAAAAATTTATCAAAACTGAATCTACATAGATAATTTTTTATGAGAACTTAGAGTTCTATGAGTTAAAATAAGGCTTTAATACCTGTACTTTGTTCCATCTATTTTAATTGTTGAAAAGCAATAAATTGCCTTACTCTTTTGCTTCAGCCTAGGGCACCTCATAGCTGAGGTTGCCAACTAAATAAACTTCTGAATAACTGAGGTATTTCTGTAGTTCAGCAGCATTAAGAGATTTATCCACACAGAAAGCAAAGGTAACAAAGTGGCTTCTGGAACATAGCTCTCTCCCTCCAGGGTTGGATAAATTTTACTTATCCAACCAGTGTCTGTATATTGATCTGTTCATCCTAAAGAGGTAACATGGCATCGTCTGACCACCAGAGGGCACTGTGTGAACAGTAGGCTTCTCAGCAAAAAACAACTTCATCAGAAAGCCCCTTTTTGCACGTGGCATTCATATTCTTAGAATTCATTTTGTGAAACTTCTATTCCAAAATACTCACTCTGTGACTTTGTCTGAGACCCACCTAAAACTGTTTTCCACCTGTAGTCTCTGTCTCACCTGGCACCACCATGCACCAATCACCCAGGCTACTTGGGAGTCAGCTGGGTCTCCCTCCTCAAAATTGTCTTGCTAATTTCTCACTAAATATTTCTTAGATCTGCCCCTCTATTTCTTCCCTACCTTCCCTGCTCTCCTGAGGCCACTATCATCACTCCTGAGTTATTACAACAGGCTCCTTAATTGGACTCTCAAATCCAACAAAAATCTGCTTAAACCCTCTATGGTTCCCTCCACATAGCCTCAGACTAAAGTACAAACTCCTCAGCAAGGCATACAAAGCCCTCCGTGCCCACCCATCTAGTCTTATTTTGCTACTTCCTGCTTCAAACTTCATGTTCAACCAGCATAAAACTGTTTGTCTCCCCACCCCCAACCCCTCATTGCTTCATGTATTTTACCTCCATTTTTAGTCACACGGATTGGTTATTCTGTCTGAACCTCCCATATCATTTAATAGTCAGTTTATGAACTCCTCCAGAAAGCCTTCTGTAACACCTCCCTCTCTATTTTAGGATTTGATACTACTGTATATTGTCACCTTATTTTGCACTTATTACACTATATTTTAATAATCAGAACAGCAACATAAAGTAGGTGTTAAAACACAAGCTAATCAGTCTGCCTGGGTTCAAATTCTGGCTCAGCCATTTGTTAGATGTGACCTTGAGCAGATTGCTTAACCAATTTGTTCCTCAATTTTTCCATCTGAGAATGGGGATGGTAATCTTTCCAAGCACTTAGACTTATTTATTTGTAAGGCAGTGTCTGTCATGGAGTAAACACTAAGTAAGAATTGGTTCCCCAGTTTTCTACGTATTGGTCTCCCCTCTAGATTGTGAGAAACTTGAAGGTAAGAACTTTGGCTTGTTAGTTTCTCTGCAACATTATGTATTCAGTAAATATTGCTGAGTGAATTACTGGTGAGGCAGCTCTCTCTATGATGATGGGAACCACCCTGTTTCCCATTTCATAGCTTGATTTTTTAAAATTCTAACCAAAAATCTTGAAAATTTCACTTTTATCTAATTAAGTCAATGAAATGAAATCAATAAAGAGTATAAAAAGTATGTTCATTCTAGGAAGCTTAACTCCATTCTTAAGCCTTAAATCTATTCAAGATTTAAGATTCTCCCTCATCCTAAAGCACCTAACACAGCAAAAGCCTTCATACTTTTATACATGCTATTCTCTTTGCTTAGAACCTTTTCGATGATGTCCAGCTCACGTTCTTCAGAAAGTTTTTTTCTGATCCCAGGGGAAGGCAGATGACCCTCTTCTGTGTTTCTGAAAGAGCCTGTACCTACAACTATAGGGTGACAAATAATGTATCATCCAAATTGAGATGCTATATCTATCACCATATTCATAGCAGGGATTATAATTATGCTGGCTCCCCTGCTTTGCTGTAAGTTGCTTGAGATCAGGGCACTGTCTTAGTCATCAGTGTATATCCTTTGAGCCTCTAACAGTTGCCTGATATTTGATCAGTTTTTGAATGAATAAATGTTGAGGTAGGTAAATTTTATTTTGCTTATCAACGTTTTGCATTATTTTAATCATGGCAACTTTTACATAGTGATGAAAAATTCACAAAGCAATTTTCCATACATTATACAACTGATTCTCACAGCAGTCCTAAGGTAGATATTTTTATTATCCTAATTTTGTGAATGAAGAGACAGGTTCAGTGGTTGGTATTTAAGTGCTCATCTCATAAGTAGAAGATGGGACTCGAACTCTGACTC